AACGGGTTCAAATCCAACCGCCGTTATAATATATTTTTAAAAAATAACTTCATAAACTATTATTTTCTTTACTTTATCATTTGTAGCAGTATTTTTGGGCATCGTTACGTACAATACAAAAATTCTATAACTATTTATACAAGATGTGTTATTGTATTTTTAAAAAAATGCATTTTAATACTTCAACGGATCAATGATTACTGGGAGCAACGTTAGTTTTAGCGTCACTCACGCTGCCAAATCTTTAATATGCAGTAGACACACAAATACGTTACAATACAGTATCACATGTTATGTCATGCATGTCTCCACATATGAAATGTAAGTTAATGAATTTAAAATAAAATATCACAGTAATTCTGCACTGTGATAAGCCACCAAAGGGCTCGCCATGAGCACGGACTGCAATACTCTACCGTAGCCACAAGGCGGCGGCATTCGCCAGGTCACGCGTTCAAATCCAACCTGAATAATACTTTTTTATTTATGACTTATAAACAATCATATTTACTTAGTAATGTGTTGCGGTGTTCATCGGGATTATGACATTAAACAAAATATTCTGAAAGTATATACACCAGATGTCTTATTGTTTAATTAGCGATTAATACATCGAAGATGTTCGGCCGGAGAACATGTAGCAGTTATATGGCGAAGAGGTGCCGTTAGTTATCAACTGGCGCAGTGGCGCACTGGGCTTAGCCCCTCGACTTTTTATTAAGGGGGTCTAACGTCGGTTCCGGGAACCACCAAATTCGTAGGAGGGTTTCCATTCAAAATCAATCCACTAGCATGAGATGAGAAGGTGTCGCGCCGCCTGTAGCTTCATTCAGTACCGTGATGACCTTAGGCCCCTTTTTTATTTAATAATTATTCTTGGTTCTTTTGGTAAAGTCACGTAGAAAGGAAATAATAAAAAAATAAACAATTAAATAGTGAGAAATAGTAAGAATTGTACTATTTAATTTTTATTATTTTTTATTTCCCTGCTACGTGACTTTACCGAAAGAACCAAGAATATGAATCCCTGCAGTGACGAAAGCTTTAAATAGAAATTTTATTATTATTGTTTTTTTTTCATACTGTACTTACAAACCTCGCCGCAAGCCGTCAGGAGTCAAAAGGTCACGGGTTCAAATCCAACCGCCGTTATAATATATTTAAATAAATTCACTTCATAAACTATTATTTTCTTTACTTTATCATTTGTAGCAGTATTTTTGGGCATCGTTACGTACAATACAAAAATTCTATGACTATTTATACAATATGTGTTATTGTATTTTTAAAAAAATGCATTTTAATACTTCAACGGATCAATGATTACTGGGAGCAACGTTAGTTTTAGCGTCACTCACGCTGCCAAAACTTTAATATGCAGTAGACACACAAATACGTTACAATACAGTATCACATGTTATGTCATGCATGTCTCCACATATGAAATGTAAGTTAATGAATTTAAAATAAAATATCACAGTAATTCTGCACTGTGATAAGCCACCAAAGGGCTCGCCATGAGCACGGACTGCAATACTCTACCGTAGCCACAAGGCGGCGGCATTCGCCAGGTCACACGTTCAAATCCAACCTGAATAATACTTATTTATTTATGACTTATAAACAATCATATTTACTTAGTAATTTGTTGCGGTGTTCATCGGGATTATGACATTAAACAAAATATTCTGAAAGTATATACACCAGATGTGTTATTGTTTAATTAGCGATTAATACATCGAAGATGTACGGCCGGAGAACATGTAGCAGTTATATGGCGAAGAGGTGCCGTTAGTTACCAACTGGCGCAGTGGCGCACTGGGCTTAGCCCCTCGACTTTTTATTAAGGGGGTCTAACGTCGGTTCCGGGAACCACCAAATTCGTAGGAGGGTTTCCATTCAAAATCAATCCACTAGCATGAGGTGAGAAGGTGTCGGCGCCGCCTGTAGCTTCATTCAGTACCGCGATGGCCTTAGGCCCCTATTTTATTTAATTAGTATTCTTGGTTCTTTTGGTAAAGTCACGTAGAAAGGAAATAATAAAAAAAATAAACAATTAAATAGTGAGAAATAGTAAGAATTGTACTATTTAATTTTTATTATTTTTTATTTCCCTGCTACGTGACTTTACCGAAAGAACCAAGAATATGAATCCCTGCAGTCACGAAAGCTTTAAATAGAAATTTTATTATTATTGTTTTTTTTTTAGACTACTTACAAACCTCGCCGTAAGCCGTCAGGAGTCAAAAGGTCAATAGTTCAAATCCAACCGCCGTTATAATATATTTAAATAAATTCACTTCATAAACTATTATTTTCTTTACTTTATCATTTGTAGCAGTATTTTTGGGCATCGTTACGTACAATACAAAAAATCTATAACTATTTATACAAGATGTGTTATTGTATTTAAAAAAATGCATTTTAATACTTCAATGGATCAATGATTACTGGGAGCAACGTTAGTTTTAGCGTCACTCACGCTGCCAAAACGTTAATATGCAGTAGACACACAAATACGTTACAATACAGTATCACATGTTATGTCATGTATGTGTCCACATATGAAATGTAAGTTAATGAATTTAAAATAAAATATCACAGTAATGCTGCACTGTGATAAGCCACCAAAGGGCTCGCCATGAGCACGGACTGCAATACTCTACCCTAGCCACAAGGCGGCGGCATTCGCCAGGTCACGCGTTCAAATCCAACCTGAATAATACTTATTAATTTATGACTTATAAACAATCATATTTACTTAGTAATTTGTTGCGGTGTTCATCGGGATTATGACATTAAACAAAATATTCTGAAAGTATATACACCAGATGTGTTATTGTTTAATTAGCGATTAATACATCGAAGATGTACGGCCGGAGAACATGTAGCAGTTATATGGCGAAGAGGTGCCGTTAGTTACCAACTGGCGCAGTGGCGCACTGGGCTTAGCCCCTCGACTTTTTATTAAGGGGGTCTAACGTCGGTTCCGGGAACCACCAAATTCGTAGGAGGGTTTCCATTCAAAATCAATCCACTAGCATGAGGTGAGAAGGTGTCGCGCCGCCTGTAGCTTCATTCAGTACCGTGATGACCTTAGGCCCCTTTTTTATTTAATAATTATTCTTGGTTCTTTTGGTAAAGTCACGTAGAAAGGAAATAATAATAAAAATAAACAATTAAATAGTGAGAAATAGTAAGAATTGTACTATTTAATTTTTATTATTTTTTATTTCCCTGCTACGTGACTTTACCGAAAGAACCAAGAATATGAATCCCTGCAGTGACGAAAGCTTTAAATCGAAATTAAATTATTGTTTTTTTATATATATTGTACTTACAAACCTCGCTGCAAGGCATCAGGAGTCAAAAGGTAACGGGTTCAAATCCAACCGCCGTTATAATATATTTTTTTAAAAATAACTTCATAAACTATTATTTTCTTTACTTTATCATTTGTAGCAGTATTTTTGGGCATCGTTACGTACAATACAAAAATTCTATGACTATTTATACAATATGTGTTATTGTATTTTTAAAAAAATGCATTTTAATACTTCAACGGATCAATGATTACTGGGAGCAACGTTAGTTTTAGCGTCACTCACGCTGCCAAAACTTTAATATGCAGTAGACACACAAATACGTTACAATACAGTATCACATGTTATGTCATGCATGTCTCCACATATGAAATGTAAGTTAATGAATTTAAAATAAAATATCACAGTAATTCTGCACTGTGATAAGCCACCAAAGGGCTCGCCATGAGCACGGACTGCAATACTCTACCGTAGCCACAAGGCGGCGGCATTCGCCAGGTCACACGTTCAAATCCAACCTGAATAATACTTATTTATTTATGACTTATAAACAATCATATTTACTTAGTAATTTGTTGCGGTGTTCATCGGGATTATGACATTAAACAAAATATTCTGAAAGTATATACACCAGATGTGTTATTGTTTAATTAGCGATTAATACATCGAAGATGTACGGCCGGAGAACATGTAGCAGTTATATGGCGAAGAGGTGCCGTTAGTTACCAACTGGCGCAGTGGCGCACTGGGCTTAGCCCCTCGACTTTTTATTAAGGGGGTCTAACGTCGGTTCCGGGAACCACCAAATTCGTAGGAGGGTTTCCATTCAAAATCAATCCACTAGCATGAGGTGAGAAGGTGTCGGCGCCGCCTGTAGCTTCATTCAGTACCGCGATGGCCTTAGGCCCCTATTTTATTTAATTAGTATTCTTGGTTCTTTTGGTAAAGTCACGTAGAAAGGAAATAATACAAAAAAATAAACAATTAAATAGTGAGAAATAGTAAGAATTGTACTATTTAATTTTTATTATTTTTTATTTCCCTGCTACGTGACTTTACCGAAAGAACCAAGAATATGAATCCCTGCAGTCACGAAAGCTTTAAATAGAAATTTTATTATTAGTGTTTTTTTTTGAGACTGTACTTACAAACCTCGCCGTAAGCCGTCAGGAGTCAAAAGGTCAATAGTTCAAATCCAACCGCCGTTATAATATATTTAAATAAATTCACTTCATAAACTATTATTTTCTTTACTTTATCATTTGTAGCAGTATTTTTGGGCATCGTTACGTACAATACAAAAAATCTATAACTATTTATACATGATGTGTTATTGTATTTAAAAAAATGCATTTTAATACTTCAATGGATCAATGATTACTGGGAGCAACGTTAGTTTTAGCGTCACTCACGCTGCCAAAACGTTAATATGCAGTAGACACACAAATACGTTACAATACAGTATCACATGTTATGTCATGTATGTGTCCACATATGAAATGTAAGTTAATGAATTTAAAATAAAAACTCACAGTAATGCTGCACTGTGATAAGCCACCAAAGGGCTCGCCATGAGCACGGACTGCAATACTCTACCCTAGCCACAAGGCGGCGGCATTCGCCAGGTCACGCGTTCAAATCCAACCTGAATAATACTTATTAATTTATGACTTATAAACAATCATATTTACTTAGTAATTTGTTGCGGTGTTCATCGGGATTATGACATTAAACAAAATATTCTGAAAGTATATACACCAGATGTGTTATTGTTTAATTAGCGATTAATACATCGAAGATGTACGGCCGGAGAACATGTAGCAGTTATATGGCGAAGAGGTGCCGTTAGTTACCAACTGGCGCAGTGGCGCACTGGGCTTAGCCCCTCGACTTTTTATTAAGGGGGTCTAACGTCGGTTCCGGGAACCACCAAATTCGTAGGAGGGTTTCCATTCAAAATCAATCCACTAGCATGAGGTGAGAAGGTGTCGCGCCGCCTGTAGCTTCATTCAGTACCGTGATGACCTTAGGCCCCTTTTTTATTTAATAATTATTCTTGGTTCTTTTGGTAAAGTCACGTAGAAAGGAAATAATAATAAAAAATAAACAATTAAATAGTGAGAAATAGTAAGAATTGTACTATTTAATTTTTATTATTTTTTATTTCCCTGCTACGTGACTTTACCGAAAGAACCAAGAATATGAATCCCTGCAGTGACGAAAGCTTTAAATCGAAATTAAATTATTGTTTTTTTATATATATTGTACTTACAAACCTCGCTGCAAGGCATCAGGAGTCAAAAGGTAACGGGTTCAAATCCAACCGCCGTTATAATATATTTTTTTTAAAATAACTTCATAAACTATTATTTTCTTTACTTTATCATTTGTAGCAGTATTTTTGGGCATCGTTACGTACAATACAAAAATTCTATAACTATTTATACAATATGTGTTATTGTATTTAAAAAAAAATGCATTTTAATACTTCAACGGATCAATGATTACTGGGAGCAACGTTAGTTTTAGCGTCACTCACGCTGCCAAAACTTTAATATGCAGTAGACACACAAATACGTTACAATACAGTATCACATGTTATGTCATGCATGTCTGCAGATATGACATGTCAGTTAATGAATAAAAAATAAAATATCAGTAATTCTGCACTGTAATAAGCCACCAGAGGGCTCACATTAAGCACGGAGTGCAATACTCTACCGTAGCCACAAGGTGGCGGCAATCGCCAAGTCAAGCGTTCAAATCCAACCTGAATAATACTTTTTTATTTATGACTTATAAACAATCATTTTTACTTAGTAATTTGTTGCGGTGTTCATCGGGATTATGACATTAAACAAAATATTCTGAAAGTATGTACACCAGATGTGTTATTGTTTAATTAGCGATTAATACATCGAAGATGTACGGCCGGAGAACATGTAGCAGTTATATGGCGAAGAGGTGCCGTTAGTTACCAACTGGCGCAGTGGCGCACTGGGCTTAGCCCCTCGACTTTTTATTAAGGGGGTCTAACGTCGGTTCCGGGAACCACCAAATTCGTAGGAGGGTTTCCATTCAAAATCAATCCACTAGCATGAGGTGAGAAGGTGTCGCGCCGCCTGTAGCTTCATTCAGTACCGTGATGACCTTAGGCCCCTTTTTTATTTAATAATTATTCTTGGTTCTTTTGGTAAAGTCACGTAGAAAGGAAATAATAATAAAAAATAAACAATTAAATAGTGAGAAATAGTAAGAATTGTACTATTTAATTTTTATTATTTTTTATTTCCCTGCTACGTGACTTTACCGAAAGAACCAAGAATATGAATCCCTGCAGTCACGAAAGCTTTAAATCGAAATTAAATTATTGTTTTTTATATATATTGTACTTACAAACCTCGCCGCAAGGCATCAGGAGTCAAAAGGTAACGGGTTCAAATCCAACCGCCGTTATAATATATTTTAAAAAATAACTTCATAAACTATTATTTTCTTTACTTTATCATTTGTAGCAGTATTTTTGGGCATCGTTACGTACAATACAAAAATTCTATAACTATTTATAAAAGATGTGTTTTTGTATTTTTAAAAAAATGCATTTTAATACTTCAACGGATCAATGATTACTGGGAGCAACGTTAGTTTTAGCGTCACTCACGCTGCCAAAACTTTAATATGCAGTAGACACACAAATACGTTACAGTACAGTATCACATGTTATGTCATGCATGTCTGCACATATGAAATATAAGTTAATACATTCTAAATAAAATATCACAGTAATTCTGCACTGTGATAAGCCACCAGAGGGCTCACAATAAGCACGGAATGCAATTCTCTACTGTAGCCACAAGGCGGCGGCAGTCGATAGGTCGCACGTTCAAATGCTAACTCCCTTAAATTTCGATTTAAAGCTTTCGTGACTGCAGGGATTCATCTTCTTGGTTCTTTCGGTAAAGTCACGTAGAAGGGAAGTAATAAAATAATAAAAATAAAACATAATAAAATAATTCTCACGACGTTTCGGCCACAACGCAAGCAGCCGTCCTCAGGTGAAAACCAGGTCTGTCGGGGAGACAGCGTCTGAATGAAACAGCACACGAGCTTGGAGCATATATATAAGCTGGGTTAGGAGGGGGGGAAAGGGCGCTTCGACAAAAGAATTTACATATCAAGAGGAATCCTGTATAATGCACGGGCATATGTAGTACTAATCACATCCCTGCATTTCCCATAAATATGCTAAATTCCTCTTGATATGCAGCGGCACATTAAATACGCACTACAATGACAATAGTTTAAAGCGATTTGGGGGGGGGGGCAGAGCTTTGTGACGTCATATTTGAGGGGGGGGTCTGACTTTTGTGACGCCGTGTGACGAAGGGGGGGGGGGGGGTCAAAAATCGTCAAAATCGCGTGACGTCATTTATGGACGGCCCCTAAATAGAGTAGTGGGCAGAGAGAGGTTGCAGGGGACGGGATGTGGCTGGGTTCACACGCTTCGGTGTCGCCTTCACCCATGGCGCGTCTCCTCTCATCACATTTGGATGAAGCTGGCGCACGCTGCACGCGCCTGATGATTGATAAATTCGTCGCCCACTGCATTTGCCCAACGTAGGGCCCCGTGTTCGATCTTGTAATGTATGGCAGCAAATATATTACTTAGTCAGGGCCAGGCACGGTGCTGTTATATTAAACAAGAGACACAAAATAAACACGTAACTACCGTACATTACACCATGGGATCCTCATTTGCCAGTAAAAATATGATAATTGTTTTTTTACCCTTCTATCTGGCAACAAAACTGACACCTTTTTACAAGGAGTCATGTTTGCATAGACCGCAATACCTGCAGTCATAAATACAAACAAAAGACATAACTCTGATAACGTGCACTGTCCTTGAAGTTGATTGGTCCACACCCGAGACAGCTTTCCTTAGAGCCTAGTCTCACATGGGTTGGACCAGATGACGCCAAAAGTCTTTTGTTTGTATTATGACTGCAGGTATTGCGGTCTATGCAAACGTGACTCCTTGTAAAAAGGTGTCAGTTTTGTTGCCAGATAGAAGGGTAAAAAAACAATTATCATACCGTACATTAAGCAAAACGCGAGTCACCAAAGTTAAAATCCGGAACGCCTCTAATGGAGACTTTGAAGCATCAGTTCCCAGCAGACCATATCTGTGCCTCCACGTAAAAAACAACTAAAGTATAATTTACACATCCCATTAGCCACGTGGCCTTCTTGTGGGAGTACACAACAATCAGCAGTATTGGTTCAACACAAGCAAACCCTGGACCGGTTTCGCCATTCAGTGTCTCAATAGTGGCCAGGCAAGAGTCAACCAAATACTGGGTGAATGTTTTATAGAGGCAAGGAACGCCCCTGCTATTTATATATTTGTACTCTTAGGTTTTTTCGGTAAAGTCACGTAGGTAAAAATAAATAATAAAAGTAATAGAAATAATACATAATTTATTTTTTATAATTTCTACTATTTATTTAATAGAAATAATTACTATTTTATTTCTATTATTTTTTATTTTTACCTACGTGACTTGACAGAAATAAAATATTTATTAGTCATATTATTTATTATTATTTATTTTTACCTACGTGACTTTAATAATATAAATAAATATGTATTATTTCTATTATTTTTATTATTTATTTTTACCTACGTGACTTTACCGAAAAAACCTTCGAGTATGAATCTCTATTGTAAATTTTAACGGATCGATTCGAACGCGGACCGCACACAATCGATGCGAATCGAGGAAACGCGTCGAGGAACGCGGAAGCCAGCTTCGATATCGATTCGTCGACGTCAATCGGCGAATCGATATCGGAGGGTGACGTCACGGCCGTTACGGTCGTGACGGTTTGGCGGTTGCCCCGCCCACCGCCGCCCACGTGGCGCGGGGGAATTTGTAACTCCGCAGTGAACAAAGTTACCCCCTGGAACATCGCGGTAACTTCTGTATCATTTCGTCCAGATACACGACTGGATATCGGGGTTGATAGTGGGGGTGGTGGATATCTGAGCCGGTCTCGGCACACGATGGTCCAACGCGCTGAACAGGACACACGGCGTGAGCGACCCGGCACGGAAGAGGGCTTCGTCCAGCAGTGGATTGAGCATGGTCCGTTAATTGCAATTGTTAAATGTCACATTTAACATCGTCACCTTGCGTAATTAATTAACGTTAAATATACCGTACTGTGTATTCATATCGTCATTTTTATATATTCACATCTCAACGGTGGGTGTGCGTTTAGAGCGTGCGATATTATGGATTTTAAGCTATTTAACTATCTTCAAAGCATGTAACATTAAGATAACGTGAATCATTTTAAGTGTTTTTGTATAATTCAAGTACACCTGGCGTTCGGAGAGGACACTTGCCAAATGACATCTGGTCACACAGTAGCAGTGTGACTGCTGATAAGACCCAGAAGGGCAACACCAAGTTGAGAGTTGTCGACACGACCTTAATGATTGATTATCTGGTCCAGTTTGTAATACATCATCACTGGGGAGACAACTTCAATTGAACAATTTTTTATTTTCCAGGTAAAGCTCACTGAACTATATATAACTCTATTTCAGAAGCGACGTGGCTATCACAAATTAAGTGACTTATGTGTAAAATATACAGCAACCGAACTAACTCTAAACGCACGTTTTTAAATGTGGAGGGAGAAGCCGGAGGACCCTTTTTTTCACTATAAATCCTTTATATGCGTGGCAGCTGGAGTCCTCTGGCTTGAGATGGCTGCCACCTATGGGTCAGATGATTGCATTGCACCATTAAGCAATTGGTAATTAAATATAATATTTTTGTCCTAAAAAGTGTAAAATTTTGGAAAAAAATTTTCACGAACATTAATTGTCACGCACAACGAGTCTGTGTGGAAAATGTCAGCTCGATTGGATCACGGGAAGTGGGTTAAAAAACGACCGAAAGATTTGCACGGTCGTAAGCAAGCAAGCGAACTTAATATAACGGATTTAAAAATGGTACCTTTTTGCCGGGTGTATTAGCAATACAATATGCACCGTCTGCTATACACGGGTCGTTCAAGATCCTGTGGTGTCATTCGCAAACGTTATAATGGCTGTGTTGGGGACACTGACCGAGTATTGCTTAGACCTGTGTTCGAATCCTGGTTTTAATCGGTCTTGATTAAAGTGAGTTGGTCTCAGACTGATGACCAATGAGTGCACCATACACTAAATGTAAAATGTTTTTTTCATCATCAACAATTGCCCTACATTTTTTAAATAAAACTGCGAGATTTGAAATCGGACATGGGTTTGATGACATGAAATAATAGCCTTAATGATACTGTACACATGATGCATGTATTAAAGCATTTTATAAATAAAAATTACTTTGAATGACAATGACATAAAAATATAAAGAAGTTATGTACTCACCAGTGTAACTAACCGGACGCTCTCCTAGCCTCCGCACATCGTATAACCTTATTTTTTACATCCATACTGATGCCTTTCCTTTGTTTAGCCACATTACCAGAACTATCACTTGCAGGCCTTTTTCCCCAGACATTGTGTGTCAAAATTGCAATCAGGATGAAGCAACAAAACTGTTACCAAAGGTCAAATAACCAAACACACGTTCCACGGGAAGCGTTCAAGGCTGGCGGGCAGAGGCGGGAGCGCTGGTTGGCTCAGCACCACTGAGCGTGCGCTTCTCTTTCACTGATTGAGCGAGCGGCTCGGAGAAGGCAGGGAGTGTTGCATGCCGCGTGTTCTCGCGCAGGAATTTTGAATCGTTCAGGAATTTTCCTCCAGGACAGAACCTCGTAAGGAAATGGTGTTATAAGAGGCAGCCTGTCCATACGATAAAAAATGTTTTTTTTTTATCATAATGGTACTATGTAAATGTTTTCATCCTAATCATACTGCTGTTGGTGTCGTGAAATACGTGTGTTAATTTTCCTGTCATTTTACTCTAAACTTGAGATAAAACTATGTGAGCCCCTGTGCACGTGCCACTTTTCTGTGACCATGCCAGTGAGATGGCCAACTGTTGCCAGCAACGCATCAAACATGAGCAACTATGGTAACTCTATGCAATAGCGTAGAGCAGCAGGGTTCTGTGTAGCCGAGGCAAATGGAGATTGGTAAAAAGGTGTTGACTACCTGGGATTGGTCTAAGAGTACACAGTGTTGGGTGGTCACATGATCTTTGATTGTAAATTTCTATCCCAGTTGCTCACTAAGGACGAGCAACTATTGGACGTGTCGTTCCTTGTAAAATCGAAAATGGTGTGGCAACAACTTCAAAATTATCTGCGTATACCAGGGTGTGCGGCTGCCATTTGAGCCAACTGGAATATAATTGGGAATAAAATAAAGCACTCCAATGACTTAGACCTAACCACTCTGTGGCCGCTTCTCTCTCTCTCTCCAGATGGAAACGTCCTCACGCTCAAGTTGTACCCGAGGCAAAGCGACCTCCAGCTACGGCGCCATCTTTTCGCAGAAGCTGTCGCTGAGGCTGCTGCTGCTGCTGCTGCCACCGCTGCTGCTGCTGCTGAATGTGGCCGTGGCACAGCGCGAGAGCGCAGGCCGCGCGTCCGTCCTCTCGATGCTGCGGTGCAAGCAGGTGGACGTCGCCAAGAACCTCTCCTCCGGATACGGGTGCTTCTGCCACGCGAGATTCCGCCACGCAGAGCCCCAGGACGAATTGGACTTGTGCTGCATGGTGAGGCTTGGCTGCGGGTAATTCGTAGAGTGAGTGAGAGAGGCACCGATGCTGCGTTGGGGCGATGGATAAAGGCCTCCCCAAACCGGATTTGCGATTGTCTCTCACAAAAACACTCATGATATAGATTTATGTATTATATGATTTTTCATAGAATTAGGACCCATATCTAAAAAATCCTTACCCGATAAACATCTGGTAGATCACCAGCATTGGTCTAAGCCAGCGTGACTTGTGGTGATACACTGTACGTTGAGACCAGTCCAGAGTTTGCTTGTGTTCAACCAAAGCTGGTTAAATTATGCACTCACAGAATGCCGTGTAGATAATGGGATGTGTTGAAAATTGTTTATATTCATGCGGAGGGAGCCATATGTCAAGGAGGAATATTGTCTTCTTATTTTTTTCATCCATAAGTGGATTGACAAAGAGCTGTGAGAAAGAAACGATGTTTCCTTGTTTAAGTTCATTTATTTAATGCAGGTTCTCACCAATTTGATACTAAAACATCTGCCTGTCTGCCCACATGTTCCTTGGTCCATTCGTCCATCCCCGTGGCTAAAGATGGCCCACTGCTGTGCCCGCGCCGCAATCCTCGACTACTGCCAGTCGGAGAGTGGCCTGCAAACGCTCGAGGCCAAACTCAAGGAGCAGCCCTCCTGCAAGACACATCGGCCTGCGGCATCACGCAAGGCCGACGAGCGTTCAGAGGCCACGCTGACCCGAGATGCCGTGGTAGAGGTGCTGGAGGCCGTGACAGAGGAGTTGAACGAGATGACTGTGAAGGAAAAGCAAAGAGTGGAGCGGGAGGCCAACACGACGTGTGAGCGGGTGCTGTACGAGTGTGAGCGGGCGTTGTACATGTGCGCCAGCGATGCACCTGTGCGGCCTGATTTGGTCGGGCTCCCCCAGGTGAGTGCAGGTTGCTTCGAGATATTAACTACCTCGTGGGGTGCCACGGTGGCGAGATATTAACTACCTCGCCTGGTATTCAGGAGGTCGTGGGTTTGATCCCGACCCTGACGCCTGTATATTTGGAGTTTTCATGTTCTCTCCTTGGTTGTGTGGATTTTTCTTCGGGTCCTCCGGTTTTTCCCTCCTGATTTACATATTTGGCTGCTATAAATTTCCACATAAGCCACTTCATTGAGCTGTCATTTGTGGCCAAGTCGCTTCTAAAAATGAGCTATATAGCTCAGTGGGCCTTACCTGGGAAAATAAACATTGTTATGTTTATAGTTTAATAGTATTTTTTTTTATTCACACACTGAGTATGGATTGCAAATTAAATGGGGTTTTTGGATTGGCACGTGATCTTTAAAAAAATACTTAAAACGAATTCTAGCTCCACATCTGGTGTTTACATGAACAGGCACAATTTAATCAAAAATATTTTATTGTCTATATTCAACACAGGCCTAAAGCCCCATAATGCAAAGCAGCCAGCAACAAAACATGAATGATAAATACAACACATAGTATCGCCCCAATGCTCATTCGAGCAAGAAATCACCGACCGACTTTTTGGAATAGAGCAAGTCTATAAGAACTTGGGAAAATAAACAATGGGAGTTCCAAAATCAGAAACTAAGGGCACAGCAGATAAGATGAGATGTATAGACTTTATTGAACAACTTTGTAGAAACTCGGTGAAAGAGATGATAGAAAATAACTCCTCAGTCGAACAGGTGAGAACAGGAGAATGTTAAATCTCCTGCAGTGTAGTTGTTGGACACAGTAGGGATACCAGGAAATTGTCATCTTGATAGGAAGGGCATCAATGTGTGAATTTCCTGGGCACAATGATTGGTCGTGCCCATTAAAGAGTGATAAAGAAGTAAGACAGTAACTGCAGTGAATCAATGTGTGCAGGAGGACCATTTAACTGAACTGCTCTGTTAAATTGTACAAGCAGAATTTACAGTATTCTGACCAATTCAAAACAGTGCTTATCATAGGATCTGCACATGTCGCATGTACATCACGAGATGTCCCACACAAGTTTGAGGTTCACTTCATCATTTATTTTCAAGTTATAGTAAGCGGTGTATCATTGTGGCACTTTAGTGACGTCGCGAGACCTTTTTACAATTCAAGTTGAGGGAGCTGGATTAATTCTGGTATGGTAGGACTATAACGGATGGAGATGACATGCAGAGACCTTCATCCTGCAGTGGCTATACAATGATTGATGATGATTAATCGTATTTTATAGCCCTTAGACACAAATGAATGCATGAAAAATGAGTGTAAGCTTCTATCTTAATGAATTATAACATACCTAATGTTTGCCAACCCTGACACTCTCCCTTGTCGATACTCCCGCCGGCCTCTAGGATGAGATCTGCAGGGCCAATATCGACCGGCCAGTGTGCTCGCTGGAGCCAGCACCGACCAACCAATCTACAGCCATACCTACCACCAGACCTGTTACTGGACTCACAAAACAAATTCCCAGTTCTACAGCCAGACCTACAACCAGTTCTATTACTAGACTCACAACAACACCTACCACCAGTACTACAGCCAGACCTACCAGCCGATCTTTTTCCTGGCTTACAACCAGCTATTCGACCAGTTCTATAGCCAGACCTTCGAACAGATCTTCTGACAAATCGACAGACAGGTTCACTGAACATTTACTCAATCTGATTACTGGAAGCGAAGAGACCTCCAGAGAAATGGTGACAGGAAATGTACACTCAGCACAAAACCATGTTTGGCAACCATCCCATCTCAGAAGCGGTGATGCACACTCACACATACAACACCTGGACCCCATTCTCAGGGTTGATAGTGATCTTACACCGAGACAATACCTGCAGCACATTCTGAGGGTTGACAAAGTACACCCACTCAGACATCATCCATGGCCCAATCTCGCTCTTGGCAGCACACATGCACACCGACAACATAGCCTCACCTGTGACCGAGCACACCCACAGACACGACAGAGTGACAATACACCCCAAGAGAGACAGCACAGTCTCAGAAACAGCGTATTGCACTTTCTGAAGCAACACCGTAGATACGCTGATTCGAACCTATACAAACAACACCGACCCATTCATGGCATTGCACATAAACGCATACAACTCTTTGACAGTACATACCCACACAGACAACACCGTGTCAAGAGTGACTATACAGACCCAGAGATACAGCACATTCCCACAGGCAACATAATGCGCTTTCTGGGCCAACGTCCTTTTAGAATTGACGATTCACAACCATACGGACGACACCCTCCCAGAGATGGCACTACACACCCACGTAGACACAGTGTCGAGGGTGACAGTACACAGCCAGAGAGACAGCACATTCTCAAAGAAAGCATAATGCGCATTCTTAACCAACGCCCTTTTAGAATTGACGATTCAGAGCGATACGGACAACACCCTCCCAGAGGTGCAGCTACAAAACCACGTGGACAATACAGTTTTGCTGATAGCATCATCAATGGACCCACATTTGCTGACGAGAAGAATGTGGGAGATATCATCAATGAACCAACGTTCACTGACGAGTACAATGCAAGAGACACCTTTAATCGACCCACATTCGCTGACGAGAACAATGCGGAAGACATCAATGGACCCGACAGTACACACAAACACAGACAACTCCTTGACAGTACATACTCACACAGACAACACCGTGTCAAGAGTGACTATACACACCCAGAGAGACAGCACATTCTCACAGGCAAAACAATGCGCTTTCTGGGCCAACATCCTTTTAGAATTGACAATTCACAACCATACGGACGACATCATCCCAGAGGTCCCAATAGACACCCACACGGACATTACAGTTTAGGTGATGGCACCATCAAAGGACCCATGTTCACTGAAGAGTACAATGCAAGAGACACCACCAATGGACCCACGTTCACTGACGAGAATGATGCGAGAGATACCATCAATAGACCCACATTTGCTGACGAGAATGATGCGGAAGACATCATCAATGGACCCGACAGTACATTCAAACACAAACAACTCCTTGAGAGTACATACTCACACAGACAGCACCGTGTCAAGAGTAACAATACAGAACCAGAGCGACAACACATTCTCACAGGCAACATGATGCACTTTCTGGGCCAGCACCCTTTTAGAATTGACGATTCACAACTCTACAGACGACACCCTCCCAGAGGTGACAATACACACCCACTCAGACAATATAGTTATGGTGATGGCACCATCAATGGACCCACGTTCACTGACAAGAAGGCGGGAGACACCATGGATGAACTCACATTTGCTGACGAGAACAATTTAGAAGAAAGCATGGATGGACCCAGATTTACTTATGAGAACAATGCGGAATATACCATGGATGAACCCACATTTGCTGACGAGAACAATGTAGGAGACAGGATGGATGGACCCAGATTGACTTATGAGAACAATGTGGAAGATACCATGCATAGACCCACATTCACTGACAAGAATACGGGAGACACTGTCAATGGACCTAAATTTGCCGAAGAGAACAATGCGGGAGACAGCATGGATGAACCCACATTAACTTATGAGAACAATGTGAGAGACATCATGCATAGACCCACATTCGTTGATGAGAACAATTCGGGAGATACCATCAATGGATCCACATTCGCTGAAGAGAACAATGCGGGCGACAGCATGGATGGACCCACATTCACTAACGAGAACAATGCGGAAGACATCATCAATGGACCCGACAGTACACGCAAACACAAACAACTCCTTGACAGTACATACTCACACAGACAACACCGTGTCAAGAGTAACAATACAGATCCAGAGCGACAACACATTCTCACAGGCAACATGATGCACTTTCTGGGCCAGCGCCCTTTTAGAATTGACGACTCACAACTATACAGACGACACCCTCCCAGAGGTGACAATACACACCCACTCGGACAATACAGTTTTGGTGATGGCACGCCCACATTCACTGACAAGAATGCGGGACACACCATGGATGAACCCACATTTGCTGACGGGAACAATTTAGAAGACAGCATGGATGGACCCAGATTGACTTATGAGGACAATGCTGGAGATACCATGAATGGACCCACATTCACTGACAAGAATACGGGAAACACTGTCAATGGACCTAAATTCGCTGAAGAGACCTATGCGGGAGACAGCATGGATGGATCCACGTTCATTGACAAGAACAATACGGGAGACACCATCAATGGATCCACATTAACTACTCAGAACAATGCGGGAGACACCATGGATGGTCCCACGTTTACTGACGAGTACAATACGGGAGACACTGTCATTGAACCCACATTCACTGACGAAAACAATGCGGGAGACACCATGGATGAAACCACATTTGATGACGAGAACAATGCGGGAGACACCATGGATGAAGCCACATTTGATGACGAGAACAATGCAGGAGACAGGATGGATGGACCCACGTTCACGGATCAGAACAATGCGGGAGACACCATGGATCGATCCACATTTGCTGAAGAGAACAATGCAGGAGACACCATCAATCGACCCACGTTCACGGATGAGAACAATGCGGAAGACACCATGGATCTATCCACATTTGCTGAAGAAAACAATGCGGGCAACAACATGGAAGGACCCACGTTCACTTATGAGAACAATGCAAGAGACACCGTGAATGGACCTGCATTCGCTGATGACAATCCGGGAGACACCATGGATGAACCCACATTTGATGACGAAAACAATGCTGGAGACATCATAAATAGATCCACGTTTACTGAAAAGAAAAATGCAGGAGAAACCATTCACGAACCCACATTTGCTGACGAGAACAATTTAGAAGACAGGATGCATGAACCCAGATTGACTTATGAGAACAATGCGGAAGATACCATGAATGGACCCACATTCACTGACAAGAATACGGGAAACACTGTCAATGGATCCACATTCACTAACAAGAACAATGCGGGAGACAACATTAATGGTCCCACGTTTACTGACGAGTACAATGCAGGAGACACCATCAATGAACCCACGTTCACTGACAAGAACAATACGGGAGACACTGTCATTGAACCCACATTCACTGACGAAAACAATGCGGGATACACCATGGATGGACCCACATTAACTGATGAGACCAATGCGGGAGACACCATGGACGGACCCACATTTACTGATGAGACCAATGCAGGAGACACCATCAATGGACCCACATTCACTTACGAGAACACTGCAGGAGACACCATGGACGGACCCACATTTACTGACGAGAACAATGTGGTAGAATCCATCGATGGACCCACATTCACTGATGAGACCAATTCGAAAGACACCATGGGTCAATCCAAATTCGCTGAAGAGAACAATGTGGGAGACAGCATGGATGGACCCACGTTCATTGACGAGAGCAATGCGAGACACACCTTTAATGGACCCACATTTACTGATTATAACAATGCGGGAGACACCATCACTTGACCCACGTGTACTGACCAGAAAATGAGGGACACACTCTTGACTGACAAGAGCAATGTAAGCTACACTCTGGATGAAGCCAGCCTCGCCCAGGGCCTCATCAAGTGATGATTAACAGTAATGCATCACTTCCACTGCTGTCACCACCATCACCAAGAGCATCACTGTGTCGGAACTGAGCTTGCAATGCGAGTATCTTTCAGTTACAGTCCTGTATGCAGTCATGTAAAAACGAAAAATGTAAAATAAAATAATAATAATAAATCACGTCTATTTTTATTATATATATACTTTACATCCACTTACTTGGTCTCATTCACTTACCATTGTTCACTCAATCCCAGCTAATGCTAGCCTCCCCTTTTTCTCCACTTATTCTCTACACATTTTTTCATTTATTTTTCTTCATCTCTTAACCATCATCCAGCCGTCCTCATCTATCTTCAGGCTGCAATGTCCACAATGGAGAGGGGCTATGAGATAGGGTTCAAGAGGCACATTGATTTTTAGCAGGCCAAGATTTTGTTGCAGAGCTTCACGGTTCGACTCCAGCGGCTGCCCTGGTTACTACTGAAGCGCCATCTGTTTTCACAGTGGACGTTAAAGTTCCCGTGACATATTTTGCAATAGTAGACCATTGTGTGTGCCAGAGTTATGGTCCAAATTTTGCCAAATAAAAAAAAAATACCCGCAAATGACTCAATTGGTATTTATCAAAACGAGCATCGCCCCCGAGAAACCCTGGCAGGAGCCTCCTGCAAAGAGTCATGAGATGGGGGAGGCTTTCCTGGGCAACCAAGCACACTCATACAGATAAAGAGCTTGGAAACTCCTTTAGAAGAGAAGATAAATAATTCGTGAGTTTAAAGAAAATGGTATTTTATGCATGAGTGATATCTATATTAATATGGGAATCAAGGACAAACCTTTTTCATTGGCTGTGTAGGGTAGTGGTGGGTTTAACGACACACTTATGTTTATGCAATCTAACCCAAAAAATACCTTTATTAAGGAGCTAGATGCTAACTTAGCCGCTCAATAGTAAGTTGCTGTTATTTGACTAGAGGTGTTTGAGATATGGCGAGTGATTGCAACACAAAAGGAGGATATTAAAGGAATTGTCACCACCACCATGAGGATGACTCGGGATGTACGCTCATGTTGAGGCACGCGGTGTGGGCAGAGCGGTGGGAATGAGTTGGCTTCGCATTCTTCAGCAAGTGGCTTCGCGCTCTTAAGTGGGAGGCACCGTAGACATCGCGGTGGTACAAGGACGGCGATGACCTCACGCATCGCGAACGTGGGGGGGATCAGTGAGGCTGTCGGTATTTATGGGACATTTTTTTCCGTATCAAAACGATGAAAAATAAGAAGAGATTTTATCTTTCCTGGCAATAAAACAGGAGGTGTTAAGATGTTCAAACACCAAAATAGATACGTTTTGCAAGGCATCAAGTCTGCATTAACCACAGATATTTGTGGCAAAACATGCAAATAAACATGCTCTGATAATAATTGCATTGTCCTTAAAACTAATTGGCCTACACCAGAGACAGCCTTCTTCATGGGGTATGGCCTGGTCTCACCACCAGTGTGAGACCTGCGAATGCCAAAGGGTGAACAGTTCCAAGGCAATGGAAGTATCAGAACACTTCTAGCTCGGGTCCAGCAGTTATATCGATGGGACCTTTTTTCCAGTGTCAACTATGATGCAGAATAAGAATAGGTTTTCGGTGTTCACAGCTCAACTAATTTACTATTATGCACCAGTATCCTATTATTATTATTTAAATGTTCTTCACGGTTCTGCGCATGCTGTATATCACAGTGAGCTATCTTGAAACTGAAACGTGCATTATCCTTTAATGAGCTCCCACTGAAGCATTGACTGTGACATAACCCAATGCTGCTGTCAATGCATGTGGTCATACAACTTAAAATACGTGTACACTGTTTTGAAGACCATATATAGCAGGATGTGATTGCAGAATGTATGACCTGGGCAGATTATTCACACTGTGTAGCCTGAACATTTCTGATGGCAGATACGAGTATGACGGATTACAATGTAATGTGTTGAATACAATATTGTGTAAATGACACAGCCACCAGTGGTACAATCTCGATCCACGTCGCCTCCTCCCTTGTGACGAGGACAATCAATGAAACGTTCTTTTTTTTAAATCTGGCACTTTTACCAATAAAAATCGCTTCGAGGAGCTGCACAGAAATAAATCATGAAATAAGACATCGTTTACACACCTTCGATTAGCACGGTTGGCTACGTACGGTGCGAAAGAAGCTCAACATACACACGTACGAGACAACCATCAAATAAATATTGAACGTACATTAAATACTGCTCGTTAGAAATGCATATAATATGGTTAATAAGTGTACAATCCTATACAACTAAAAAAACAGGAATGGCAACATCTGAAAACCACTGTGCAATGAGATGACAAACACACGTGCTCAAATATCGTCGGGCGGAGTAAAGGGCTAATGTGGGGCACAAGGCCTCTTTGTCCTGCTGCTCGCGTGTGGTCCGTCTGTTGAGCAGCAGACACGAGCAGCAGCAGCAGCAGGGCCTGTGCAGGAGGGCGCCGGTCCACACCTCCACCTCATCGTGGCTCAAGACGCCACTTCGGTTCGCACCACGATTGAAAGAGGTCTCTCACCCCCCCCCCCCCCCACATTCTACCCTCAACATTCAGTCATTGGTCGTGTGCAAAACCACTTTAAAAACGAATTGTAAAAGAGAGATGGTAAATCCTGAAGATGCAAAAGCTGTCAACATGCATACGCATATAAATGTTTAAAAAATATATTTTAAAAGTAATGTTTTAAAAACTGCAGGACCCTCTGCGCATTCACAGATCCGAGGCGAATCATTCCCCAGCGTTGGGGGCTGTTGGAACCCTCTGCCACACCACGCATCCTGCCTCTCCGTTCGAGTGGCACACTCGGTAGACCTGCACCCTGTGACCCCCCCCCACCCAGCCCCACGTGTGATGCATGAAACAAGGGATTTAGAAAATCAAGAGCATGAATTGCCTCCTTCTGTCAAGCTGGGGTGCAATTCAATAATAAAACAGGCTTGTGATTGTATTTGCAGAAGTCTTCAGCAAATACATGTAATACCACTGCTCTTAGCATGAATAAAGAATGTGGTTAACATTTTTAGTATTCTCTACCCCTGGGCTTCAATGGCTCGTGTTTTGAAAAGTGCTGGAACGTGGCGTGGTATTCTACTGGGGTGTTAATCATCGGATCGGCTCGTGATTGGAAACTGCACGATCCATTTCATGCGAGTTACCCGGTTTGGGTTCTGAAGCTGCCAAAGTGGAGACTCTGAGAACTACATATACACCACTTAAAGGTACACTGTGTTATATGAGGCACACACACACACACACGCCGTACATAATACCCTGAAGGTTCACCACAGTTAACAGATACAATTTTTCTGCAGAGTAATTACATTTCACATTTCAGTCTTTGCTACTTAACATGCTGCACTTAAAATGTATATAATTAACTTTACTATAACAAAAAAAAATATTTTACTAGGTAAGGCCCACTGAGCTATATAGCTCTATTTCAGAAGTGACTTGGTCATAATGATAGCTCAACAAAGTGGCTTATCACGTAGACATTTATCGCAGCCAAATACTCGAAACGCGTGTTCATAATTATAAATGTGGAAGGAAAAACCGGACCACGAGGAGAGAGACACGCAAACTCCAACTATACAGCAGGCGTCAGGGTCGGGATTGAACCCACGACCGCCTGCATACCAGGCGAGGTAGTTAACATCTCGCCACCGTGGCGAGATGTATAGGTATCGTTGCATGTCGCTGAATGTTGTGAAGACAGCGCCATAGGAGACAGACCACCGAAACCTGGAGTCGAGCCAAACAGTCGGCACGCCAAGTCACTGGGGTCTGCCCTCAAGGGCGACGAGTGACTGCCATTTGGGCACAGTATCCACTTCAACAACAACAACCAGTTCGGATTACACCCCGACCATAAGCCCATGATTTTCACAATTATTCTAGTGGCAACGCACCGCATTCCATTGATGTACCGTGCATGATGCAAATAACCTTTGAAAAGTAGCAAAGCAGTGTGTGTGTGTGCGATACAGTTCTCACCGAGAACATGAAACTTCACAAAGTCGTCGTATCACTGAAGCAGCCGTGACGGCCGTATGTGTAGGCTAGCTTGTTGTTGCCATTACAGCCGATGTAAGATGCTTTTGGTGAAAAAAGTTGTAAGTGGAGGGAGTGTGTAAGGATGGCTATAAAACTAACATCATCCAAGCCCTTGCTGGACGCGATTATTTTTGGTAGTGATTCTCCGGCGCCCTTGCACTGCGTTTGTACCAACTTCAGAAGTATGAAGATTGCACTTCGTAGTTTCATGCCGTATGTTTGTTGCCATGGCTGCGCTGCTGAGTAGAAACGAAACTTCATTACTCTACCAAAAAAAAGAATGTCCCCCTTCTAAGCCCAACTGCGACTAGATGATATTGAGGCTGCACGACCATGTATTTATATGTACCAGGTATAATGCAGCAGTGGCTATGTGTGGACTGGGCCACCTGAATTCCATTCCCAGCACCCACGGCTTACACCAGTGGCGAGCCATGTCTGACCCGATCCCTTCATTTCAAGTATCCCACACGGACCCCCGTGGTGAAGTATGGTCAAACAATTCCCCACGACTGATACAGCTGTTGGGAGGATCTTGCTATGGAGCCACACTGTTCTGCTGTGATTTTTCATGCAAGATTAAGCAATACATATTTGTTTCAAAGCCTGGACTTTTGCAACTGTTTTAGACTAATTTAAGGGTGCTGATTCCAAATCTTATCTCAGATTTGCTCTATCACATCTCATTTTATGCTATCGACATACCCCATTTTCATTGATTTTACCCGAAATTAACTCTGTCACTTATGATTGCAAGTTGTTGCGAGTCAGTGACTGCTTTAGTGTTAAAATATGGTGCTGTATTTTTAGGATAGTGTGTTTATAATATAATTTTATGTAGATATCCACATTTATTTAATATTTTTCTTCTGCCGTTTTTATTGAAAATGCAATATTTGATATCTCAAAAACCTGATGTGATAGACGAAAACTAATGCCAGATTTGGAATCAGCACCCCAAAATTACCCTAAAAAAGCGTTGGAATACCTTATGCCAGAAAAAGTGTGTTGACCAGTGTAATCTGTCAATCGAACATGAAGAAAATTAACAATCTTATTTTGACAATACCTTTTAACTCGTCTTGCGCACTTACACTCCGTGTCTGTTCTGTATTAATGTATTAAGGTTAAAGTTATCGTACAGTGCTTTCAGATGTTGTACCTGTTTTGAAAGTTGTATTCATTGCAGGATGATACCCCGTAAACTTAATATTTGTATTTTTAACTGCTAGTTAATATCTGATGCTATTTATTTGAAGGTAATTTTTTACATACTCTACATTTGTAGTCACAATGGGTATGACAACAACAATCTAAAAACCACAATCGCCTCAACACTGCAAGTCATCAAGAGAATAAGGAGCAAATGCTGTTAGCGAGCAGCACCTATGAAGGCGGCACGGCACACGAAGGGCGTGTGGGTGGCCAGCACCACGCCCGGCCACCTTTGTCTCCCGAGTGGCGATGTTGACTGCACACCGCACCAGCTACTCATTTGAGGCTGAGTCGACCTAGGGGGTGCCCAGGACCGGTTCAGATCATCGTCACCGGTGCTGGCCGTGAGCGGGAATCGAAGCCGGGTCGCCAGTTTCGTAGCGCAACGTGCTAACCTCAGCACCACCGCTCCCTATGAGAGTACAATTCACACACACCTTATTGATGACACGGCAGTCAGGTTATTGACTCGAGCATGTGATCAGTGGAGTAGTAAGAGTTGTTGCTATTTTAATTGGAACTCCAGAAGCCAGTGGCTGACAGCAAAGGAGACACTCGCTGCTCCGGTGTCTGCTCTGTCACAACAGCCACGTGAGTTTGAGGCCAGCGATGTCTCAACTTCTATTTATTAACACGTTAAGGAATCGCACACACACACAAATATCCGTGTGATTCAACGCGTGTTTAGAGTAGATTATAAAATAAAAATTCTGATGCTGTCAATAAATGTACAAAAACTGTGTTGCTTCAGTCAGTGCGCCGCGTTCGGGCATGAAGTCAGCCTCGTTTGGCTCGTAAGGAATGTGACCCAAATGGCTGTAAGGATAAACGGGGATAATGGTTATGTGTCCTCATCATTGCGGATTAGGATTAGGTGGGGACTGCAGGAGCAGCAATAGCAGCGTGAGACAGTACGACATCGCTTCGGGATGTGTGCGCGTGGTGCGTTACGCAGCTTCGCTTCCCATTCAAAGTATAAACCGCCCGCGTGATGTTGCAATTGCACTCGGGATTTAAACAACAAGTTATGTTCACTTGAGTGCCGATGCAGTTGTAATGCGGGACTTGTAGAGAGATGACTGCACGCATCGAACCACTGTGTTGTTTGGGGGTTTTTGCCGGTGACAATGCGGGCTGATTGTGTTGCTCCTAAGCGACCAAACATTTTTTCCCCCTCCCCAGTTCCAGACGGGTGGCGTGTCACTTCCCCACACCGTGACCTTGACATTGAAGAGGGCATTGTCCAAACGTGACGCGGGGCTGTGTAGCACTAATGGTTGTCCTCAATCACCATGTTGTAATCCATCTCACCCACCCAGGCCCTTCGTGGCTAAATGAAAGTAATATAAAAAAAAACGCTAATATATAAGATTATTGTTTTTGGTTAAACGATTGAAAGTACTATTTTGATTTAAAGCTTTCGTGACTGCAGGTATTCATATTCTTGGTTCTTTCGGTAAAGTCACGTAGAAGGGAAATAATAAAATAATATAAATATAAAACAATTTATATTATTTCCCTTCTACGTGACTTTACCGAAAGAACCAAGAATAAGATTTAAAGTACTGTTATTTGATTTTCTAAAATTTCTTCCTTTCTTATTTCCGATACTAGGAAGCTACTGCAGCTATGCACTTTTAAATTTAGAATAAAAATGTAAACATTTTAGAACTGCTTTTTGTGTTAAGTTTGTTGTCCTTTCACCCCGCATATCCGATTAGCACGGTTGGCTACGTACGGTGCGAAAGAAGCTCCACATAGGTACAGAATAACAACACATGTATGAAAGATTAGCATAAACAATAACCGTTAAATAATAAAAACAATGTCATTAACGCAATGGTGTAGCATAATTAAAATAGTATAACTAATGGTGTTAGTGTAACTGACAGCATGTCTGGTGTAAGTGCTACGAATTATGATGCTGATGGAGACTCGTGACGAGGCTTAGATTGCCTGAACTGCAGGGCAAAGGAACTTTGGAGCGGTATAATCTGTGTTCGCACTGGAAAAGTCCAGCAAATGTGGAATATAATTGCGAACGCAAGCAAATTTGATATCACTATAATGTGTGTATA